AGATAGATAGATAGATAGATAGATAGATAGATAGATAGATAGATAGACAGACAGAGATGTCAGTGACTAAAGACTAAGGCTCTTATTTTGTTGTTGTTTTAGATTAGGTGGTTTTGTTTGTTTTGTGTGTGTTTGTTTCTTGTTTTCTTTTGGGACAGGATCTCTCTACATAACCCTGGCTGTCCTGGAACTCACTATGTACACCAGGCTGGCCTCCCACTCAGATCTGCCTGCCTCTGCCTCCATCAAAGTCATATGCCACTATGCCCTGAGGATCTTCTGTTTCTGATCCCGCCCAGGTATATGATGGCAGCTGATAAGTGAAATCATGGAAGGAGTTGACATTTCCTGAAGCCACTGGAGGAGCCTTGAAGGTTGGCTTAGGCAAGCTCCCTGCCTGGGGCAGAAGCCTCACCTGTAGGAAGCCTCCCGTGTCTTTGGCAGGTCTTGGCATCAGTATTTCCTCTCTGAGCTGGTTGAGAGCTGCATTCTGAGGTCTTTGGACTTTTCCTGAAAACAATGCTTGGCCAGAGCCCAAATGCAGTCTCCAAAGGCTTGTTTCTCAGCAGGCTCCTGCAGCAGTTCTGTGGGCTGAAGACGGAATCTATTGGTGTCAGCTGTGCCCAGTTGACCTGACTGACTGATGGGGCTACGCAGACCAGATTACAAAGGAAACAAACAAGAGCCCAATGCGGGAAGTCCAGTGCTCATGTGTCCGAGGCTCACCCAGCCCATCCTCTGTGTCCGAGGCTCATCCTCTGCCCGGCTGCCTTCCTGCAGCCAGAGGCCATCAGAAACCTTCATGTAGACAATGAAGCCTGCAGGAGAATAGTCCAGTGGCAGGGTCTCTATCGCTGTGAGAACACCATGAGCAAAGCAAAGGGGAAGAAAGAGTTTGTTTCCCTTTAGGACTCTTGGAGCACATGCCAGCTCTGAGGGAAGTCAGAACAAGAGCTCAGACAGGACAGAATCCTGGAAGCAGAAACTGAGGCAGAGGCCACAGAGGAGTGCTGCTTGCTG